ACCATTTGACAACATTGTTTGGTCAAATTTCGCATGCCATTGTTTTGGTGCTTGTTTTATTCCGTAAAGTGACTTAATAAGTCGACACACCTTCTTTTCATTTCCGGAAACTACAAACCCTTCAGGTTGTTCCATATAGATTTCTTCCTCTAAATCTCCATTAAGAAGGCTGTCTTTACATCCATCTGATGGATTTGAAGGCCATACACGGCGGCTAACGCTATTAACACCCGGATAGATGTAATCCTTGTTACCGGCGAATATGTGTCAAAGTAATCAAGACCTTCTCATTGTCTAAACCCTTTAACAACTAATCTTGCCTTATATTTGTCAATAGTATCATCAGCTTTCATTTTCTTTTTGAAAATCCATTTAGAACCCAAAGGTTTATTTCCCGGAAGAAGATCAACCAATTCCCAAATATGATTACTTTTTATGGATTCTATCTAACTATTGACTGCCTATTTCTAATATTGTGCTTCCGAGGAAGACATTGCTTCTTTGAACGTTTGAGGCTCATTTTCCAACAAAAATGTCAGAAAGTCTAGTCCAAAGGAATTAGTTGTCCTTTGACGTTTACTATGTCTTGGATTTTCCTCATTAAACGTACTTTCCTTTTCTTCTTCTCGAGGTCGCTTAGATTTTTCACTAGACGACTCACATTTTTTTTACATGGATAAATATTCTCAAAGAATTCAGCATTATTAGATTCGATTACCATATTAATATGAATGTTGGGATTTTCTGATTACCGAGTGCCAAGTGATGAGTGACTGGGAGGCATGAGTGATTGTGAGGTATGCCCGAGTAGCATGAGTGTTTGTGAGGTATGCCCGAGAGGCATGAGTGATTGTGAGGTTTGCCCGAGGGGCTGTTTATGAGTGATATTTTCCCGAGGGGTTGTTTATGATTTCATCATTTTTGCTCATCTTTGCATTAAGCCTCTATTTGAAAAACTATTGAAAAATATCTTTAAATGATTTTTCTGGAACTGGTTTAACCTAGAAGATTTGATTCAAACACTGATTTTTAAAGCATGTTGTACTTTACTGAATTTTCGTGATATGAACTTTATATATTTTATAGCTCGTCACTACTGCCTAGTCTTTATTTATTGTTGTTACTTACTGAGTTGGCGTACTCATATTACTCCCTGCACCTTGCGTGCAGATCCAGGTGAAGCTGGACACGGTAGCGGATGTTGATTATTCGGGTTGCAGATTTTCTTGGGGATAGCAAGGTAGCTGCTTGGCGATCGCAGCCCCTGTTCTTCTCCCTCTTATCTTCCTTTAGTTGTATTTAGCTATTTTCCAGACTATGTTAGTCTCGATATTATTAGACAAATTGTTGTAGATGCTCATGACTAGTGATACCCCGATGTCGGATTTTTTTTTTCCGCACTTTTGTTTTGATTTGTACTCCTTTATGAAGGTTTTTTTTATGTTAAATAGCCTTGAGATCTTCTTGAAATAAAAATATCAGTTGTTTTGGAAAATGAGTCGGCTTGCCTAGGTTCACGATAGGCACCATCAGGATAAGGGTTAGTTTGGGTCGTGACAGATTGGTATCAGAGCCTATGTTACATAGGTCCCACGAGTCATGAGCGGGTTTAGTAGAGTCTTGCGGATCGGTACGGAGAAGTCTGTACTTATCTTTGAGAGGCTGCAGAACCTTTAGGAAAATTCTACATTCTTGAATTCTTGTTGTGCGAATCTATTGATTCTAGTAACTAAACATCTGTTGTTTCATTCTCTCACAGATGGTGAGGACTCGTACTACCGGGCATAAGGGCCAGCCACCAGTACCACCAGCCAGGGCTGCGAGAGGCTGAGGCCGTGGTAGAGGTTGTGGTAGGGGCAGAGGTGCAGCCCGTACAGCAGATGGAGCAGTACCTGCAGATCCACCAGTTATCCCAGATCAGGACCAGGTTCCAGTTGTTGATGCACCAGCTCAGGCGCCACCTGTGCCTATTGTGATTTTAGGCCTTCAGGAGGCCCTAGCTCAGATTCTGATAGCGTGTACCGGCCTTGCTCAGGTGGTCTCTATCTCGACAGTCGCAGCCACCTCTCAGGCCGAGGGAGGCACTCAGACTCCCGTCGCTCGCACACCCGAGCAGGCTGTTCAGGGACTTCAGACACTGGAGGCACCACCAGGCCAGTCGGTTGTAGCTGCGCATGATTATGTGGTTCCTGTTATGCCTGAGGATGATCAGTGTAGGTTGGAGAGGTTTGGAAGACTCCAGCCACCACCTTTCAGTGGCACAGAGAGAGAGGATGCTTAAGACTTCTTGGACAGGTGTCAGAGGATAATCCTTACTGCTGGTATTCTGGAGACTTGTGGGGTCTCATTCACTACTTTTCAGTTCTCCGGGGCTGCACTCAGATGGTGGGAGACTTACGAGAGGTGTAGGCCTGTTGGCGCAACACCTCTTACTTGGCAGCAGTTCTCCATGGTCTTTTTGGAGAAGTTCGTGCCTCGATCCCGCAGAGAGGAGTTGCGCAGGCAGTTTGAGCGACTTCGCCAGGGTGATATGTCTGTGACACAGTATGAGATGTGGTTCTCCGAGTTGGCTCGTCATGCGATATGGTTGGTTCCCACGGACAGGGAGAGGATAATGAGGTTTATTGATGGTCTCACTTTTCAGCTACAATTGCTTATGACCAGAGAGAGGGTGTCTGGTGCTACCTTTGATGAGGTTGTCAACATTGTTTGACAGATTGAGATGGTCTACGATCAGGAGAGGATTGATAGGGAGGACAAGAGGCCTTGTGGTCAGGGTAGATTCAGCGGTGCTCCTTTTGGGGGTCAGTTTCAGCACGGTAGAGGTCATCATTTCAGACAGGCTCAGTCAGCTCGGCCATTTCACCGTGGTGCATCATCTGGCCACGGTTCTCACAGTTCTCATCAGGGCCACTCATCACTTAGTGCCCTTCTATCTTAGAGTTCGTCCCGTGCTCCACCAATTCAGGGCTCCTCTATGCCAGGTTCTTCTACTGGCTATCCCCGTGCTCGGTGCTCCCCTCATTTCCCGCCACCAGCACCAGGGAGTTGTTTTGAGTGTGGGGATTTTGGTATATGTGGAGGCAGTGTCCTTATCGTCATGGAGGTCTATCTCAGCAGAGGAGTCAGCCTTCGACTTCAGCACTAGTTACTTTACCACCCGCCCAGCCAGTTCGGGGTGGAGGTCAGTCAGCTAGGGGTCGTCCTAGAGGGGGAGGCAGATCAGGGGGTGGCCAGGCCCGTTTCTATGCCCTTCATACCATACTAGATGTTATTGCTTCAGATGCTGTAATTATAGGTATTGTCTTAATTTGTCATAGAGATGCCTCAATATTATTCGACCCTGGTTCCACGTACTCATATGTTTCCTCGTATTTCGCCCATTTTCTGGATATGCCTCATGAGTGTTTAGTTTCATCTGTTCATGTATCTACTTTTGTGGGCGATACTATTATTGTGGACTGTGTATATCGGTCGTGTGTGGTGACTATTGGGGGTCTGGAGACCCAAGTGGACCTTTTGATGCTCAGTATGGTTGACTTTGATGTGATATTGGGTATGGATTGGTTATCTCCATGTCATGCTGTTCTAGATTGTCACGCTAAGATAGTGACATTAGCTGTGCCAGGATTTCCGAGGGTTGAGTGGAGCGATTCTATAAATTATGTACCAAGTAGGGTGATTTCATATTTAAATGCTCAGCATATGGTTGAGAAGGGTTGTCTATCTTATTTGGCGTTTGTGAGGGATCTTAGTACACAGACTCCTGCCATTGATTCTGTTCCGGTGGTACGTGATTTTCCGGATGTGTTTCCTGCAGACCTATCAGGCATGCCGACTGACAGGGATATTGACTTCGGTATTGATTTGGTGCTTGGCACTCGGCCCATTTCTATTCCATTGTATCGTATGGCACCGGCGGAGTTGAAGGAATTGAAAGAACAGCTTCAGGAACTCCTTGATAANGCATTTGATGAACAATGTATTCCAGCCCTATTTGGACTCATTAGGTGTTGTATTCATTGATGACATCTTGGTGTACTCTCGTAGCCAGGAGGAGCACGCTCAGCATTTGAGGATTGTATTACAGAGATTGAGGGAGGAGAAGCTTTATGCAAAGCTTTCCAAGTGTGAGTTTTGGCTCAGTTCAGTAGCATTCTTGGGACACGTGGTGTCCAGTGAGGGTATTTAGGTGGATCCAAAGAAGATAGAGGCGGTGCAGAGTTAGCCTAGATCGTTCTCAGCCACGGAGATTAGGAGCTTCCTTGATTTGGCGGGTTATTATCGTCGCTTTGTGGAGGGATTTTCATCTATTACATCGCCCTTGACCAAATTGACCCAAAAGGGTGCTCCATTCAGGTGGTCGGATGAGTGTGAGGAGAGCTTTCAGAAGCTCAAGACTGCTTTGACCACAGCTCCAGTGTTAGTTCTGCCATCAGCTTCAGGTTCTTACACCGTGTATTGTGATGCCTCGAGGATAGGCATTGGTTGTGTTTTGATGCAGGAGGGTAGGGTGATTGCCTACGCCTTGCGCTAGTTGAAGACCCATGAGAAGAACTATCCTATCCATGATCTTGAGTTGGCATCCATTATTCACGCCTTGAAGATTTGGCGTCATTATGTATATGGGGTTCATTGTGAGATCTATACTGATCACCGGAGTTTGCAACATCTGTTTAAGCAGAAGGATCTTAATTTGCGTCAGCGGAGATGGTTGGAGCTTCTTAAGGACTATGATATCACTATTTTATACCATCCGGCGAAGGCCAATATGGTTGCAGATGCTTTGAGTCACCGAGCGGAGAGTTTGGGGAGTTTAGCATATTTTCCAGCAGCAGAAAGACCTTTGGCATTGGATGTTCAGGCCTTAGCGGGCCATCTTGTGAGATTGGACATTTCGGAGCCTAGTCGGGTATTGGCTTGCGTGGTCTCCAGGTCTTCTCTTTATGACCGTATCAGGGAGCGTCAGTATGATGACCCCCACTTACTCGTTCTTCAGGATAAGGTTCGGAGAGGTGATGCTAGGGATCTGACTATTGGTGATGACGGCATGTTGAGGATGCAGGGCCGGACATGTGTGCCTAATGTAGATGGGCTTTGAGAGTTGATTCTTGAGGAGGCCCACAGCTCGCAGTATTACATCCATCCAGGTGCCGCAAAGATGTACCAATATTTGAGGCATCACTATTGGTGGAGGCGGATGAACAAGGATATAGCTGG